TAAAAAACTCCTCAGGGAGCTGTCAGATCTGAATGTGGATGCTAATTTAATATCCAGACTAGACTAGATGAACCTAAAAGAATGGTTGAGACAATAGTGTTTTCCTGCCAAATGTTATGTTTGGCATGCACATGTATATTACATTGAATTAATGACCTTATACGTAAGACACTACATCTTGGAAGAAAATCACTTTATTCTACTCATAAACAATAACATTACAACAGCTTGTTCAAGGAGACCAAACATCTGTCCAGCCCCAAATTCAGTATCATCTCAATGAATTTCCACTAAGGAAGCTCTTCACAGCAGATGACAGGCTGACCAGGCGGCTTTACACTACTGATTACATCTGTATGCTAAAGTAACTTGGTCATGAGATCCAATTTTCTGCTTCATCCTGAGCTTCTTGATTAGACTAACCCTGCAAAAAGAAAAGCTGAGTTAGAAGAGCACTGGAAGCACCACTTACCCCTACCAGCCCTCCAAACAGAACAGCAGGGAAGCAGCCCAGGGTTGCTGGTTTATGCCGTGGCCAACAAAACCTCTACGCTTGGCACAATGGAAAACAGTGAGTGCACGTGTGCTTCTAGGGAACAAGCACCAAGGCAGAAACAGCCATTTTGGTACTAGACATAGCTTCAAGAAAGACTTCTGATAAACTTGGACATGCAATCCCTTAATTCCATAGTTTGAACACCTAAAAGCTATCTTCCCAATTTCCCAACCTAAATCAAAGTGCAAGATCAAAGTAAACATCTTGGGTAGACAGGAGGAAATCCCCATTTAAAAAAAACTAAAAAAAAAAAAAGAGCCAACAATCCAAAGAGCCTAAATCCCCAGTGTTCTACTGGGGACTTACCGAACTTTTCATCAGTGAGGCACAGATGCCCACTACTGATGAAAACGAAATGTCGTCTTATACTCATGGACTTAAGGGCAACAGACCACAAGATCTGACACACTGACTTGTAAGTGCTTGCTGAATAATGAAACTCAGAACATAACTGGTAAACTTCTGGACTAGTTCCTTATTAAGAGTTAAATTATGGGGCAGGCATGTGGTACAGTAGTTACGATGCTGCGTCCGCATCCTATGTCAGAGTGCCTGGCCTTATGTCACAACTTTCCTCCTGATTCCAGGTTCCTGCTAGTGCACACTGACAGGCAGAAGCGATGCTGGATCCCTGCCACCCACATGGGGATTGAGTTCGAACTCATGGCTTCAGCCTGGCTCAGCCCTAGCTATTGCGGGCATTTGAGGAGTGAGCCAGCAGACGGAAGATCTCTCCCTGTCTCCTTCAAATAAATAAGGATAATTTTTTTAAAGAAACATTACTTTCCTCTAACTTGTCAGTTTATTAAACACACCCTCCAACAGCCCCATCATGATCAGGACTATCACTGTGAACTGAGGAGACACAGGTTGGCAAAGCACGTACCGTTTGCAATTCTGCACTGTCTCAGGACTTCATTGAAACCCTCACAGAGCTTAACGTCACTCTGGTTCTGGGCACACTCCAGAAACTGCTTTATCTCGTAGGAGCAAGGGCCAAACTGCTGCTGCTGTGCTAACTGGGCTCCCTGGGGCTCCTGTGAAGGCAAAACATCCAACACTGTCAAGAAAGGAAATCGTACTGACACCCAGACACACAGCAGCAGCCATCACCTGGCTATCTGCCACATCATCTGGGAAAGCAGAACTAGACAGATGCAAATTAATACAAAAAACGCAAACCATTAAAAGTAGGAGGCAAGTGAACTTAAACTAAATTCCAGTGGCAATCAGTCAACAACTAAGACAAAAGTAAGGTGGAATGGTTATCTGGGCATCTCAAGATTAAACAGTTCAGCGAAGCTTCGTGGAGGAAAAATGGGACTACAATAGAAAGACGGATAGATGGTTTCCTGTACACCACAAGTACAGAATACAGACTTGTGCTCGTTAGAAGAGAAAGGCTACACATCTCAGAAAGAGGGGAAATGGCAACTATCACAGGAGACCACACAGAGCAACTGAAGAGATTTTTGATGTCTTAACTAAGATTGAGACTGGATCAGTAAGCACTGCCAAGATAAAATCACATTAAAGGGAAAAACGGTTGTTCTGCAGTGAGTCAGGCTGGACTGTCACAATTCGACTCCTTGGGAAGAAACACAATTTGTACAGTACGATTCGTTGGTGCTGTTGAAGCACTAACTGAACTGCCCGATGTGGCTTTTGAGAACCCACTTTCTATTAACAGCATTGTAGACTCTAAAACTAAAGATAGTTCTACACCCAAAGAACATAAAAACTAGATTTTCTCACAGATATTCCCACGGGAGGAAAATGCTGCCCCAAATCTTACCTGGTAAGTGATGTCGGGCCGCGAGGGCTCAGCACTGTTTCCTCCACTGAAGCCCCCAGTGATGGCGTGGCCCAGCGTGTGCCCAACAGCAGAGCCCACGGCCACGCCAGCTGCAGTGGTGGCCATCTGGGCCATCAGGCCTGGCTGTCGGGGTGCCGCGGCGGGCGAGCCCACTGCAGATGGTGGGGCTGCTGCTGGCGGCTGAGCTACTGGTGCTGGCCTCGGGGCGGCTCTCATCTGAGGAGCCCGGCTTGAAAGAACATAAATACATTAAGCTTCCGTTTCTACTGAGCTTTGGAAATTACAAAAACCAGAACAACACGATAAAAAACACACACCTTTGTATCAGAATAAATCTCAAGATTTTCATTTTAAATTCTTAATCCCAGATGCTTACTATATACATATACAAACACAATTTCATCTAATTTTTTGTTACAGTGGTAATTACCAAGTGTATTTTTTTCCTGCTGTTTTGCAATAATTTCCATATGCTCACATAACCCATTGTATTTTTTCAGGAACACAGTTATTCCAATTCTTCATTAAGAAATACAGAATATTAATACAGAACATAGAATATTAAGAGTTAGAGGGGCCAGTGTTGTGCAGGTTAAGCCTCCACAGTGAGGCCTGCATCCCACATGGGCTCCAGTTCAAGACCTGGCCGCTCCCCTTGGGACCTAGCTCCCTGCTCATGAGCCTGGGAAAGCAGAAGATGGCCCAAGTGCTTGGGTCCTCACACCCAGTGAGTGACCTGGAGGCACTGCCTTTCAAATAAATAAAACACACACACACACACACAGGCAACTACTATGCATGACGAGAACAGAACTTAACAAGAGACGAAAATCTGCGCTTTTACGGACCTTATACACGGAGATCAAATAGTAAAAATGTCGTACATTAAACGTTAAAGAACTTTCAAGAGCAGGAGTATGAAGAGGGATATTGCAATTTTAGGAAAATCAAGGAAGCTCCCACTAAGCTGGTAACATTTGAATTAAGACCTAACGATGGACACCTGGGTAAAGAATCTAGCTCGGGGGGGCTGGCACTATGGCAAGTAGGTAAAGCCACCGCCTGCAGTGCTGGCATCCTATATGGGCGCCGGTTCAAGTCCCGGCTGCTCCACTTCCTATCCAGCTCTCTGGCCTGGAAAAGCAGTAGAAGATGGCCCAAGTCCTTGGGCCCCTGCTCCCAGAGGAAGCTCCTGGCTTCGGATGGGCGCAGCTCCGGCTGTAGTGGCCAATCGGGGAGTGAGCCAGCGGATGGAAGACACCCCCCCTTCCCGCCTTTCCTTCTCTCTCGGTGTAACTCTGACTTTCCAATAAATAAATCTTAAAAAAAAAAAAAAAAAAGCTAACAATGGACACCTGGGTAAACAATCTAGTTCAGGTCTTTCACTTCAGAGATCCCAAAACCGGAGCCTAGTGAGGTAAGTGTGGAGCTACCGTACTCCCCATCTGCAGTACGTCTAGAACTTCCACTGGTTATGTCCAGCACTGCTTTTGAAAAACAAAAACAAAAACAAAAACAAAAACAAAAACAAAAAAACAGCTGGAAGGGCAAAGACAGCTCCCATCCCTCTTGCGGACTCTCCGACGCCGGCGACTCCCGGGGCTGGGTCGAGACCGAAGCCCGGAACCAAGAATTCAATTCAGGTCTTCCACGTGGGTGGCAGCACCCGGGTCCACCACGTCCGCGTCAGCAGGCAGGGGGCGTGAGGAGCCCGAGTCCCCCGGAGACCGGAAGCGGGCGTCCCCACCCCGCCCCCACTGCTTGGACACTGCCAATGCACCCCGCTTTCTGCGCCCGCCTGTGGACTATTCCTAGGGCGCCCTCCTCCGAATCGAGGCTACGTCCGGAGGCTGTGACCTGGCTTCCTAGCAAGTGGCAGCTGGCCACGGCTTTATGAAATGCGCCTCCCGGCCTTGGCATGAGCTCTGTCCCTTCCCCCACGCTCCCAGCACACAGTGTGAACACAATCCACCTCGGTCCGGCCGAGGCGGGCTCTCTGCGCCCCCCCTTCCCCCACCTCGGCGCCCCGGGGCCGACAGGATTCAGAGATCCGTGCTTCGACCGCCACCCCCAGGTCCCCAAACAGCCTCACCTGGCCGGAGGGGCCATGCGGGAGGTACGGCTGCGGCTTCCACGCGGCATCTTCACGGCCAAGCTACCCCGGCGTCTCCAAGGACGAAACTCTGGCAAGAGTTCAAGTACTTCGGCGAAGAAGAAGAGCGGAAGGTAAGAGGCGGGGCTTACCCCAGGGTTACACCAATCAGCGCTCGGGCAGGATCCTTTCGTTTGCTGACGCCTCGGCGGCCCCTGAAGGTCATTGGAAGAGCAGGGCTTCACGGCGGAGCCTCGTCGTGCGTAATTGACGTAATGAGCTCCGCGCCCGGGCGCTTTATATAACCGGAAGATCCTGTGGTGCCCTGCAAACTCTGTCCCCCGACCTTAGCATGAGTCAGAAGGGTTAGCAGTTTGCTTCCTCGGCCGAAGGCTGTCGCTACGTCCTGCAGACGTTTGTATTAACATGGTGAGTTTAGCCCAACCTGTGCGAGTCACGTTTCTGGCTTGACTGCTGGGGGACCTTGAGGAAGCTACATATTTGGACAAATATTTTTTTGAGTCACAATGTGGCTGGAGGAAAGAAAGTTTTAGGCAGGGCTTGACAGTGTTGAGTTGCTTTGAGATAGCATCCTACACTGTGATTTGACAAGATTTTACTGAATGGCTAGTGTAGGCATTCAGCCCGATGTGCTTCAGCCATCTTGGGTCTAATCACCGTGTATCTTGACCAGTAGGTAATAACCTTAGAGGTCACCCCAAGCCCTGTGATAGGTACACAAAGTCACATGATTAAACTGTGGCCCTCACTTGCTATTGTTTCCTAGAGTCCCTCTTATCTAATGTCTGGGATACCTTCTTATGAATGTTAATGTTTCTTGAAAAAGTGTAACGTGCATTCCAATTGGCTGTGAACCACCTTTCTCTGTAAAACTCCTCTTTTCCTGACTCATGGCATAGGGATCCACTGTCTCAGCTGCCCAAGACCACCTTCTGTCCATAAATCCCCCAATAAATTACATTCTTTGCAATCTTAGATTTGTGCTGTTTTGTTGGTCCTATGGCAACTTTTGCCTCTGGAGGTCTGTTACAGTACACTGGATGTTTCAGAAATAGCACCAAGTAAAACAAGATTCTAATGTTACACTGAATTAAATTTGGCCTAGATTAGCCTCTGTACATAACTGATTGGCCTAAAATAGCTTGTACTCTGAATTGATGTGTGTGAGGTAGCTAGGTGGACATTAGCCTATGTATATATAAGAGGGGCCAAAGGAAATGGGGCTATTAGGTCTGATAACACTGCTGTTAAGGTCCTTGGAGCAATTTTTGGGAATTCCACACCCACATAGCCCTCCACCCAGCGATTTCTCAGAAGAGGAAGGAAAGGAGAAGTGGAGTGGTGGTGAGGACCCATGTCCTTATACATAAAAACTACAACCTGAATATCGTCTGGGCTCTGAGTCCTTTGCTGGTATGCTGCCCTGGTCTGTCACGTGTGTTCTCTTCATTAAACTTTGCTACCTCACTTACTACTACTCTCTGTCTCACATCTGAAATTCTTGCGTGAAGACATGAACCTCTGAGCAATTGTTTCCAGTAACATAAGCTGATTATAACTTATGTAATCAAGAAACTGATTCTCACACAATTATAGCAGTCAAATTTCAGGCAATCACACAGCCAGTTGATCAGACCATGTCCAAACAAGGCAAATGCTGTTGGCTTCCATCAGGTTGTTTCTGTATGTCATATCCTTTTCTGGGCTATAAATATAACATACATGTTAGGGCGGGGCATTCAGAACTGTCTTCTGTCTGGAATGCTACCAGGTTCTAAACCTTTTTATTGCTCAAGCAAACTATTGCACTGTTCTCAGTTTTTGTTTTGAATGCTATATTTATGGAATTTAAATTTCAAAAAGGGGAGACACAGGGGCCGACACTGTGGTGTAGCAAGTTAACACCCTGGCCTGAAGTGCCGGCACCCCATATGGGCACCGGTTCAACACCTGGCTGCTCCACTTCTGATCTGGATGTTGCAGCCATTTGGGGAGTGAACCAGTGGATGGAAGACCTCTCTCTCTCTCTCTCTCTCTTCCTTCCTCTCTTCCTCTGCATCTCTGTAACTCTGCTTTTCAAATGAATACAGAAATCTGAGATGATCTTTGGATACTTTTTGACCTACCTGCACAGTTGCTGCTCCTGCAGTAGGGTCTGGGCCAGTCCAGGGTGGCTGGTGACAGTACCTCTGTGATTCAAAATCTGAAAGAACTTTGGAGAACATTCACTGCTTTTAGGATCTGGAAGCAGAAATTAGTCACAATAATAACTTGGTGATACTTTTCCTCCATGTCACCACCACTTAATTTAGGTAGGTATTTGTGTCTCCCCTTCTTTTTTTTTTTCTTTTTTAAGATTTATTTATTTATTTGAAAGTCAGAATTACACAGAGAGGAGAGGCAGAGAGAGGGGGGGGGGTCTTCCATCCACTGGTTCACTCTCCAGATGGCTGCAATGGCCAGAGCTGGGCCATTCTGAAGCCAGGAGCCAGGACCTTCCACTGGGTTTCCCATATGGGCACAGAGGCCCAAGCACTTGGGCCATCTTCCACTGCTTTTGCAGGCCATAGCAGAGAGCTGGATAGGAAGAGGAGCAGCCAGGACTAGAACTGGTGCCCATATGGGATGCTGGCACTGCAGGTGGAGGCTTAGCCTACTATACCACAGTGCCAGCCCTCACATCTGGGTTTTCAAAAAATATATTTATTTTACTTATTTGAAAGGAAAGGGACAGCGAAAGAGAGAGAGCTATTTCACTCCCCAAATGCCCACAACAGCCAGGGCTAGGTGAGGCCAAAGTCAGGAGCCTGTAATAATCCAGGTCTCTCACCTGGGGGGCAGGAACCCAAGTATGAGAGTCTTCCGTGGTACGCATTAGCAGGAAGCTGGAATTGAAATTGGAGCTGGGTCTTGAACCTAGACACTCTGATATTGGGTTGCAGGCATTCTCAGTGGCATCTTAACCACTGCACCAAATGTTTGCTCCTGATTTATTTTTTTGAAGATCATTTTAGCTGCTGTTACAGAATGGATGAGAAGCAGGGAAGGGCACAGAAACCTACTGAGAGCTATGCAGTAGGAAAGTAGTTTCAATTAGGCAGGCGAAGGTGGAGGAGCAGGACGTGGTGGGATTCTAGACATTTAGACCTGATGAGACTTGATGGTGGACTGAACGGGAGGAATGGCAGAGTAGGAGGTATGAAGGAGCCAACTCCTTGGCTTCTGATACAAAAGACTACATGGATAAAAATGCCATTTACTGGGAAGGAAAATAAGGATGGGGATAGTTGGGAGAGTAGGTTGGAAATAGAAAGTTCAGTTTAACAAGTATCACAGATGAGCAGGTGATCAGCACAGCAGTTGGGATGTCCACATCCCATCGTGGAACACCTGGGTCTGAGTCCCGACTCAGCTTCAGCATGCAGTTTCCTGCTAATGCACACCCTTGGTAGGCAGCAGGTTATGGCTCAAGCATTTGAGTCCCTGCCACCCACAAAGAAGGCTCAGATGGAGTTCCAGGTGGCTGGCTTTGTCCTGGCCCATCTCTGGCTCCTGTGAGCATTCTGGTAGATGAAAAATCAACCTCTCCCTTTCTCTACATTTCCAATAAAGTGAGAAAAAAAAATAAAGAATCAATATGCCAGGAAAACATTTAAATGAAAATGCCAGACAGGTAGCCAGAAATATAGGCATTGAGCTCAGACTTGAAACGGATTCAGCAGGCTCTGCTGGAGTCCCTGGCTTGTAGACTGACAGCGCCTCCTGCTCCGAGAGGGAAAGAAAGTGCTCCAGGGGAACACAGGGAGGAAGGAGAGTGCTGAGGACTGGACCCTAGGGATCTCAGAACTTCAGAGGCCAGAGAGATGGGAAGAATTAAAGAGATAAAGGAAAGTGAGTAGAAAGAGGAGGATGCTGCAAGGGGGGAGTGGTCTTCTACAGCCCATATTAGAGTGCTGAGGTTCGAGCTCTGCCTCTGCTCCTTTTTAAAGATTTAGTTTATTTATTTGAATAAGAGAGAGAGAGAGAGAGAGAGAGAGAGAGAGACCTTCCATTCACTGGTTCACTCTACAAATGGCTGTATTGGCCAGGGCTGGGCAAGGTAAAAAACAGGAGACTGGAATTCCAGCAGGGTCTCCCACATGGGTGGCAGGGGCCCAAACACTTGGGCTATCTTCCACTACTTTCCCATGCACATAAACAGGGAGCTGGATAGGAAGTGGAGCAGCTGGGACTCGAACCCACGCTCATTTGGGATGCTGATGTCACAGGCAGCAGCTTAATCTGCTGTGCCACAACACTGGCCCAGCCTCCTGCCTCTACTTCTGATCCAGCTTCCTACTAATGTGCACCCTGGGAAGCAGTGGCTGATGGTACAAGTAGTTGTGTCCTTACCACTCATGTGGGAAATCTGGAGTGAAATCCCAGCTCCTGGCTTCAGCCTGACCCAGCCCTGACTGTTGCAGGCATTTCAGTAATGAACCAGCACATGGGAGCTATCTCTCTGTCTCTTTGCCTTTCAAATAATTTTTAAGAAGAGTGACTTATTTTCTTAAGTTTGGAAGGTGCATGCATGAATATGGAGAGGCTTCTGAAGAGAGTGAATCCAAAGTCAGGAATATAGGGATCCATAGATGGAGCAAGTCCTAGAAAACTGAGGGATTAGTCTTTGGTAAGAGGGAGAAGAACCAGTTAGGTCTGTGGCAACACATCGACAAGGACTTCATCTCAACAAAACTCACTTCTCCCTAAAGAGAAAATGTGTGTGTGCTCCTGTGCTGACGCTGCAGCCTTTGCTTTAATACTAGGATCTCCAGCCAGGAGGAGCATGAACCTATTACCATAACATACAAGCTTATGTTGATTTAACTGCACTGTGCGGGCCTGTGCCCAGGCTTCACTCAGTGACAGGAAGTTCCCCTCTTACATATTCACCCCCCCCAAATAAAAGACCCCCATTTCCCCTGCCTGTGGAGTCACAGCTTTAACATGATTCCCCAGAGTCTCCTTATTTCTGCAAATAGATTACTCTTTGGGACAACATCTTCTGGTGCTTTTTTAGAACTCAGTAGGAAGCAAGCAGGCCCACGATGTTTGGGTGGGTAAGAGAGATTGGGAGTTGGAAGTTAGGCAAGATAGGACTCTGAAGAGGTGGTGTTTGGACAGAGTCCTTGAAGAGGTGGAGAAACCATGTGTTTATGGAGGGTAAGAGCACTCAGGAAGAGGGGGCAGCTACTGCAAAGGCCCCAAGAATCTGTGCTTTACAAACTCGATATGAAATGCTTTACACTTGATCTTAGCCAGAAGGCCGACAAGTGATGATATGAAATGCTTTAAACTAAGAAAAGTTGGCTTGTGGCACTTCATGAGGGGCTTCGTGGGAAAGGCTTTGTGGGTGGGGTGAGGTTTAT